CCATTGCTTTGCTCACTGTCACATTGTTGCCATATATAGCTATTGCGGGTAGCCTCTCCTAGTGACGTCATTATGTTTCCATATATTGTTATTGCAGGGAGAGTTTCCTAGTTACATCGCGCCGTTACCATAGAACTATTGCTAGTAGCTTCTCCTGGTGACGTTGCGCTGTTTCCATATAAAAATTCATTGCCGCGAAATTTTCATAGTTAAGTCACATTGTTACCATATACCGTTATTGCGGGTGGTCTGTCGTAGTTCCGTCATACAACTGCCATCGTCGGCTCCTTCTGTCTAGGGAGACAATGACTGCGCCTGTCTGTCACTCCTGTCAAGATCATCGTCTGGGGTGGCTCCAAAGTCCTATTCGAGCATGGAAGTCTCTGCCACACTTGTTGCAGATGAAGGCTGAAGGTGAGTCGATGGCTCGATTTTGCTGCCTTTCTTTTCTGCGGCTTCTTCTGTCCATCTCCTGCTCCTATCTTATCATTTCGCCGCTGCGTACTCCTTGACTTACGATGCCTTTCCATGCTCCACGATCAGTAGCAAACTCTTCCCAGTGGTCTGCATCTATGCCTGTTGTCTTGAGGTCGCGCTGCTTACAAACGTCTTTGAAGCGCTGTACTGGGCGTCCTAAATGCGGCCAGTTCGCCGTATAGAGTGTTTTTCGGGATGCATCCATTATTCATGCGATGTACGTGGCCGATCCATCGAAGCCGACGCTGGCAGAGTAGGAGGTGCAACCTGAAAGAACCAGCCTTTCTAAGGACAGATGTATGTGTAACTATGTCCTCCCAAGTAAAGCCCAGGCTTCTTCGCAGACAACGGAGATGGAAACTTTCTAGGCGGTTCTTCTGCTTGGCGTATGTCGTCAGGTTTCGCTGCCATATTGCCACGTTATCATAGTTATTGCTGGGAGACGTTCGTGGTTATAATACTCTGATGTCATATTAATATAGTATTGCAGATGCCTCTCCTAGTGACGTCATACTGTTCCATCCCACTAAAACAGAAAGACTTTCATAATTGCATCACACTATTACGATAATCATATTATAATAATATAGTTATGGCGGGTGGCCTTTCCTGGTGACGTCAAATTGTTTCCATATATAAAATAATTGGTGCAGAGAAATTTTCATAGATACATCACACTGTTACCATGATATATCTTTTGCAGGGAGCCTCTCCTATTTACGATATATTGTTTCCATACAATATAGTTATTGCAGGGAGACTTTCATAGTTACATTACACTGTTACCGACAAGTTACCATAACTGTTTGGAGCCTCTTATGACAACGTCACTCTGTTACCTTATATATAGCTATTGCCAGGAGCCCCTCCAAGTTACCTTTTACTTTTTCAATATAATTATGGCAGAGAGAATTTCATAGTTACATCATACTGTTACTATAACAGTTTGAACCTCTTGTGATTACGTCACATACCTTATATAGCTATTGCGGGGAGCTTCTCTGAGTTATATCTTACTGTTTCCATAATATACATGTAGTTAATTCCAGGGATTTTCGTAGTTATATCTCACTGTTACCATATAATGATAATACAGTTAATGCAGGGAGACTTTCACATCATACTGTTCCAATAATCATGTTGGGAACCTCTCGTAATTTCGTCATACTGTTTCCAAAATTTTTAATACATGTATTATGAAACTACAGTTATTGCATTGAGACTTTCATAGTTACATTAAACTGTTGCCATCATTGTTGGAAGGTTCTTGCGGTTTCTCACACTGTTACCAAATACATGTATAGCTATTGGTGGCTGGAAGCGTACCATAGTGCGTAACTCGGTTACCATACACAGCTATTGCCAGAGCCTCTCGCGGTTATAATATATCATGTATATTATATTATTATCTCGTGTTTGCTTTTTTAACATCTCATTATTACGTCGTATCGTCAGCGATGGGATTCAATTCAGATGGCATCTGTATGCATGGGTGTGTGCGTGCGTGCGTGCGTGCGTGCGTGC